TGATAACACCGATGGTTTTAGTTGGTGCTCAGTAATGTTTACAGACTGAAGGCTTTTTCAGTCTCATGCTGTGACAGGGAGGAGGGGAAGCCAGGAAGAAGCAGACAGGACACTTGACCCAAACTGACCAAAGAGGTATTCCATACCACAGCACATCATGCCCAGTATATAAACTGGGGGGAGTAATCCAGAAGGACTAGATCTCTGCTCAGTCGGGCTGGGTATCACTCAGCAGGTGGTGAGCAGTTATATTCTCTTCCCTTGTTATTTCCCGTATCATTATTACTATCGGTGGCAGCAGCTGTGGTTTGTGTTATAAGTTAGTTACTGGGCTGTTCTTATCTCAGCTCGCGGGAGTTACATTCTTTGGATTCTCCTTCCCATCCCTCCAGGAGCAGCGGGAGGAAGGTGGGGAGTGAGCAAGCAGCTGCATGGTTCTGGGTTACTGGCTGGGCTTAAACCACAGCAATACCACACGTGTCCGTACTCTCAAAGAAACCATAGTGTGCTTCCTGGTGACCTCTTCAAATACAAGTAATTCTCTATCAGCATACAGACTTTTCTCTGTTCCTGTTGTTCCTTGCTTTAGAACTGGTTTCTATTTATTTCCAAAGTTTTTACCATTTCTGGTAAAGCTAAATGCCTTCTTGCAGTGCAGTGTCCTGGGCCTGACAGGAACAGCACTGCAGGAAACACTGCTGTCATGACTTTAAAAGCAAAACGGAAATTGTGAGGTTAAGGTCTCTTCTCACCTCTCACTCATCCCCCTGCCACTTTGGGCAGCAGAGTTGGTGCTGCTGCCCTTTCCCTGAGCTCTTCCCAGCTTTTCCTGCAGCGAGTGTTGTATGATGGTACAACCTCCTTTACGGGACTAACAACAGAGTTTTCTGATGTTGATGCAGTGTTTGTAAAAGTCTGTATAAGTGAACTCGAGTTTCATCATGAATTTACGAGTTAAAATTGAGTTAAAAGTGTTCTGACTTCCAGTGCTGTTCTTACTGTAGATACAAGGAAATGATGTGCCTGCAAATCTATCTACAGAGACAACCAGCAACAATGAACCAGAGAAGAAGAAAAGGAAGCTACAAAAATAGCTCGATACTAAAGTTAATAGGAAGTCACATATGAATTCTTTGTATTTAAGTTTTTTTTCCCCATGGACAAAATGCTAGAAACAAATTCTGTTTACTTTTAAATACACATTTTAATAATTTGTAAAACTGGCTTTTTAAAAAAATAACTTTGTAATGAATACATATGTATGTAGCAGAACAGTAGTTTTAAAATCATCTATGTTTTAATGTATGTCTGTAGCTTTATCTTGTGGGTGAAAATAAATGCTTCTGCGAAGTGAAGGAATAGTTGTATTTTATAACAGCCTTAAGGCCATGCAAGAGCCTGACAAAAGTCAGGTTTTTTTCAGTCTGCTAACAGAACTTACTCTTGAATGATAAAGGCCATACACAGCCCCGTACTGGCAAGTTACAATTATTAGAATTCTAATTTTGTGCCTTGAACCGCATGGTTACAGGCAAGCCACATCTCCTGACTATGTAGTCATAAAGCACGTTTTACGTGCTGTGGGGACTGATGTAGGTTGAGTGTGTGTGCTCCTGAGCTCAGTGTTGAACTCCCACCACAGGGACCCCAACCTAGTTGTTACTGAGTTCTGCATGTTTGTTTCAATGAAACTCTCCTCCAAAGCACCTGGCACAACAGTAGTTTTCATTGACTGGTTCTGCTGCTGCCAGCTCCAAGCTCTCAAAGCCAAGAGACTGCAGTCCCACATACTACAGGTGTACCTCAGCCATCTTCAGAGAGTTATAGCTCACAAACTTCTATACTAGTCACTTGGTACTTTCCTTGGTAAGGATCAGGTCACAGTTGATCAATATGTGTTTGTCACCTACCTGGCCATAGTTACTCAGCTTCCCGAGTGCTGTCATTGTAAAGGGCTGAATCAGGTTTATAAAGTACGTATTCACAGAAGGCACCAAAAGGAGACAGCTGACTCAAACAGAAACCACACCACTGTCCCCCCAGTGAGCTGTTTGAATCCTAATCCAGTTCCAAACCCCTGTCATGGGCAGGGACACCTTCTACTGGACCAGGTTGCTCAAAGCCCCGTCCAACCTGGCCTTGAATACTGCCAGGGGCACATTCACAACTCTCTTCCACTGTCTCGCCCCCCCCAGAACTAAAGCGCTGCTTCCCAGTATCTACTCTAACTGTACGCTCCTCTCAGCACTACTCTTAAAAAGCTTCAGACACTTGAAAAACAAAACTCAGTTTCAGGACAGATGTGCAGAGCACAGGCTCTCTGATACCACGTGCTACAATAACTGAAATCAGTTTTTACCTGTGTGTATGAGAGCAGAAGTTCACCGAGCTCCTTCCCTGACCTACTACCTCTGCTCCCCAACACCCCCCACCCAAACAGTGCACACACATGGGTGTTACTGGCAGCATTAAAGCAAAGATGCTGCAAACTGTAGCAAAGAAATAAATACCAGCTAGGTGTGAAAGAGATGTCTTTATTCTGTTTCACTATTCAATGTATAGTTAATACATTTATGTTAAAGGACTCTCCTTAAAACTACTGTAATTAATTTAATGTAAACAATGACCGTTTTGTGCAACATGTGCCAGCCAACGTGAAGCACAACCAGAGAAACAGAATGGTCAACTGATTTCCGTGGTAATTTGCACAGCAGGTTTCTTATACAAAGCAGTTACACTAACATCATGAAAACACATGCACACTTTCATAAAATAAATAATTCTCATCCAATTGAAGATTAAAAAACAGGACAGAAAATACAGGCAACTTATTTGGGGGGATCCTTAATTACTTCTCACTTTCACTCATTTCTGCTGTTGTATTTCCTTTAAGAAAACACTTCTGCAGGGTGCAGTTAAGTAGCTTAGCAATCACTTTTATTATCTGCAAATACTCTGAAAGCCTCTGATCATTGAACATACCAAGAATCAAAAATTGTAATTAAAAAAATAAAACCTAATCTTAAGTATAGGTGTTACGGGGAACAGTTCAGAAACAGATCATCATTTGCACGACCCTACTTTTCATCTTCCTATTTACACTGACATTATTCCTAACTTTAGTAATCACACTTGCAAAAATAAATCCTTTGTACAGTCTGGATATCTGAAATTCACCCTTTTAGTTGATTACTGTTAACAAGGTGCAAGGTCATATCTAACTTTTAAACCTCAGACAAGTTGTGCCTTGCTTTGAAGCTACAACCTTACAAGCTAAGCCTCAGGACGTTTTGAAGGCCCTATTCAATAAATACAGAAGAGAATTCATTCTCTACTTTAACAAATTTGTCCCCTTAAAGTTACCAGTTCAGTGCATTTCCACCTTGTAGTAGGGCACTGCTTCAAGGTGGTGAAACAGATACTGCAGGACATTACATTAAGTTACTGTGAATTCCATCTGCATTACTGAAATATTGATTAAATTGCTATGGAAGTAAACCCACTGCATGTCCATGTCTGCCGGTTAGGAATCTAAAGTGATTTTCTTAATTACTACTTTTGCAATGTGAGAACTAAACCCAAGCAACTTTGTTGATGGCACAGGAGTTTCCCTTTCAGTATATTTTTCAGAAAGCCTTCCCTGGTTAATTCTTAATGAAACCATTTCAAGAACTGTTCTATCCATACACCACTCTCATGAGTCTCAGGCCTGAGGCATTTGGTTTTAATGCTATCCCAATTCTGCTTGCACCTCCCTTTTCAGATTTTGAGAAAACATCATCCATCACCTTCAAATTTAGGGGATGAATCTGACCTGTGAACTGTTCTGGGCTTCGATACAAGCTTTCCTGTGGCCTGCAGCACAGAACAGGAACCTAAACTTCTACCCAGAACCCTGGGACTGGGTGTCCTTGCTACAGACAGAGCGAAGGCTCCTTCACCCAGTGAGCACCTACTGGCATAGACTGTTGGCTTTGATTAATGCAATAAAGCTCACTCCAGAGCTGTACAAACACAGAGCCTGTAGACCACAGAATTTCCCTTATCTCCTCTTCATAGTCGCTATGGCTACAACATTACCATAGTGATCCCCTCCTGCCTCCACATTCCTATTTAAGAACTTCCAGAAGGTTCTTTTAAACAAATCAAATTTAAATACATCTGATTTGATTAGGCAAAAGGAGTTCGGGGCTTCCAGACCCTCCTCATTCCAGTACTTCTGTTCATCAGTGGTTTTCTTGACAGTATCAAGGCTTTGTTTATATTAATACTTTTTGCAGTAAGTGCCATACAAAAGTTAATTATATCTCTAAATGTTTATCAAATATTTTGGCAATTTCTGTAAGCAACCTAAGAGTTGCTGTAAGCAGTACTGGGAATTAAACATAAAAGGGAAGTGTAATGGTTTACTAGTAGGAAGGCTGCACCACTCTCAGTGTACTGAGACCAATTAATCTCCTTGCACCTTCTTACGTTCCCTCAAAAGGGTACTAGAGTTTTAGTTTGGACAAAGTGCTTTTAGGAAACACTGGTGGAGTCAGGTGATCCACTTCAAGCTTCTTTGGGCATAAACTTTATTATTAATAAAATTAGATTTGGGGGTTGGGTTTGTTTTTTTTTCACTTGTGGAAAGTACATAACTTCCATAACTAGAATGGAGTTTTCATGCAGCTGTTCACAAGGAAAATCTAACTTAAGAACTAGCCTGGTATTAAAATCAAAGGGCCTGTTTTTAACAGTTTGCAGTCTAGTATAAAAACATACATGTATTCCAGGGACCTGTTTCTAGGCCACTAATTTTATTCCTTCCTCATGAAGTCAAAGCTGAGTTCTGTCACTTTTCCTTTAGACCTACACAGACACGCATCCAGCCCTGCTCTCCTCCTCACACCCCCAGCAGTTCACTCCTATCCAGCAACTCTTTCTTGGCACCACTGCTAGCATTCCTAAAGCCACACAATACATCTGATCAGCGAAAAAACAATCAAATGAAAACACTCCTTTTCCCAAAAGAAAAAATTCCCTCATGCCTTTTTAAGTTGTGTCTTAAAATGTAGGTGGTTTTACAGTTACACTGGCTCCTATGCAAGTTACCCCAGGTTTGCCCAGCCTATCTGAAATACTCTTCAAGCTCAGGTTAGGTTCAGCCTTTAAAAACAAGGCTCCCTCATGGAATCTATCCTAATCACTGAAAGAACATAATTCCAAAAAACAAACCTAATGTGCTTTCTTTATACCAAGTCTAGCTGCCTTAATTTTCAAAAGGGTTGCTTAATAATACCAGTACATTTGTTAATAAAACCTGAAGAATCCCACATTATTTAAACCCCCCCCTTAATACGTAGCAGACAATTTATTACACTTGCATTAAAAAACCCAAACAGTACGTGTAATCCAGGTAACGGACATCATATACATAAAAATTTATTAGACATCACAATTTAATCTCCATCAGAGAACTACATATCATTTTTGCAAAATCCCTGAACTTGATTTTCATTTTGATGTTTCCAGGCAGACGTGTTGCAAGTTGCATTTTGACCAAATACTGTACAATGTGGTTTTGCTTTTTGGAAACAGGACTGCTTCTCTGGAGATTTTGCTCTCAGCAACTGATTGTCCTTATGGTTTGAAACAGAAATCTCCTAGGTTAATAAGGAAAAATTAATTTTAAACCCATTTTCACAAAAATTCCCCCAAAGAAATAAGATCCAAACTTCCTATTGGAAATTTTCTAATTATAATTAATACCTTAACTTCCCATCTCTCCCCTTCTGAAATGAAAAAGAAATGAAAGATGTTTTCTCTGCAGAAATCTTTGCTCTCAGCAAGAACCATCTCCTCTCAGATTGCACATGCTCTGAATGAGTCAGACTGGATTCTTTCAGCCAGCAGTGCCCATGCTTTTTTGGTTTGGTTTTTTGTTTTGTTTTTTATATTCTCTGTGGGCTCCCTGTTGTGAGAGTTGAAGGAAATGCTGAATGCCACTGCACTTAAATCCTATTCCAAAAATGCAAAGTTGGGCTTAGTCAGGATCTAGCAACTGAAAGACTAGCAGTGGGAGAAGACAGCTGCACAACCTGTCTCTAGGACAGGTTTGAGACTAGGCAACTGATTCTTGTAAGTACCTTCACATGTGTAATCCATGACCAACAGGGTGACTGGGGCATGACCTCAAAGTAGATGGGTACTTCTAGAAGTTTAAGATATCTATCTTTTCTTCCTGTAAGGGCATATTTATTCTTTTATCTTAAATGAGCAGAGTTCAAAATTTCATAAAATCATATAATAGTTTGGGTTGGAAGGGACCTTAAAAGATCGAGTTCCAACCCCCTGCCACAGGCAGGGACACCTTCCACTAGACCAGGTTGCTCAAATCCCCATCCAATGCAGCCATGAACACTTCCAGGGATGGGGGAGACACAACTTCTCTGGGCAAATGGACATTTGATATCCATGGTCTACAAGGCGCCATCAATCTGCTCTTTACCTTGTCAGACTACTGGCTATTAGCATGTCAGATACAGAAGTGAAGTCAGGGCTAAATGGGCTTACTTGAGGCTTTTCATAATCTGTTACTACTAGTCCTTACTCTCTCCTTCAAGGACTGTAAATGATAGTAAGTAGTAGACCATAAGCTACTAAGTTTATAAGACCACAACTGCTAAGCAAGATGATCTTTGCTCTCTCCTTCAAAGGAGATGCACTTCTCCACAGGCACACATCTAAAAATTTTCTAATAAAAAAGCAGCAAGAACAACAGAAACAAGAGACAGACTACAATACTTCAGAAGCCATGAGCAGCCTCACAACTACCTCTCATGCATATAACTCAGTTTCCCCTGAAACTACCTCTGCCTTTGTCATAGAATGTATTAATTTTACTGCTAGTTTGTCCTGCACTTACTCCTTGTTTTCAGCATAATACTTGAAATGATGCTATATTAACACAGTCTCTATAATCACCTGACAGTCTCTCCCCTCAGGCTTCCTGAAATTTAGTAAAATAAGGAACAGATGCTTCAGGTGAGAAGCTGTCACTTCTGTATCATATCACAATTAAACTCCTACCTTTGTTCTAAGCAGCTGAGATTTATTCTGAAACACGTTAATGTTTACATCATTTTCTCTGCAACTGTTTTGGGCCCCCGCAGTATCCATAATGCTGCTTCCACAAGTCTGTGTATTATAACCACTGTCCACCTGAAATCAAGAAGGAGGGCTTTAAAAATGTACTGCAATTTAACACCAATAAACCCCTCAGTTAATCAAATGCAAGTCCTCCCAGGTAACAAAACTTAGTCCCACAAACCAACTGCCATCAGGTAATAACAAAAGCAAACCATAAACAGGTCTGTCAGAATTACAGAATCGTAGAATAGTTTGGCTTGGAAGGGACCTTCAAAGGTCATCTAGTCCAACTGCCTGCAATAGGCCGGGACATCTTGAAACAGATCAGAATTACTTTGGATTAAATGTCTTCCTGTACATCTAACACAAAAATTGCTATGCTGACTCCACTGCAAAAGGAAAAAGGGAATAGGGTGGAAGGATAAAAGTCACAATGCCACCAGCACACAGCATCCATTAAGAGAAAGTAGACAATTATTTCCAGAACAGCATACGTATTAGAAGTGATTACGTTGAGCTCAGTTTTTAATATTTTTATTTTTACCTGAATACTACTGTTGTCACAAGGAATTGCGCTGCTTTCTGCAAGAGGTGACATGAACACACGAGAGTTTTCAATACTGAAAGTAATCCCTGTCATAAAGCTGGTCATTGGTGCATTGCTATTGCCAATTGTTTCTTTTATCCAAATGTTTTCTTCTGACACTTCAGCTATGTCAGCCATATCTACAGTATTACTTTCCTTGGAGCCTTCTATATCCTGAAATGATGACAGTCTTTGATGACAAACTTCTGAGTGATCTGGTGCAATAGACACAGTTGCTACCACAAGATGTGTGCCATGTGTAAAAGTATCCCCATCTTGCTGGTGTAAGGTTATTCCATTATCCATTTCTGGGAACCAAGCTTCTGATGGAGAAGCGTTCTCCTTGTCTTCCTCATTCTCACCATGGTTCTCAACAGCAATTGGTATCCTAATGACAGAAGTCTGAAACTGGGTAATTCTTCTGCATGCTCCAAGTCTCATAGGTGAAGACTTTTGAATTGGAGAACAACCATCTATATAAGGACTTCTTGTAGCTGGAGGTGTCATTTTATTTGAAGAAGAAGGAATATCTGGAGAACAAAATGTGAATTTTCTTTGGTCTGTAAAAAACAAAATTATGCTGTGAGATACCAGGTGGAGATGAAATCATCATCCTCAAAGCCCTAGGGTTTTTTGAATTATTACAGCCAACCACACAGCATTTCACTCACCACTGTCTCCCAGTTCCAAGGCTGCCTTTAAAAAAACTAAATAAAAAATAATCAAGCAACAAAAAATCCCCCAAAACAAACAACCCAACAAAAACCCCAAAACAAAAACACACCAGCACATTTAAACTATCACAGTAAAGGCAAGTTTTTACCTCATTTTTACCACCCAATTTTGTGTCCCATTACATAGTTTGCTGTACTTGTGGCCTCACATTTTTGCATGTCAATACTATACAAAGGAAAATGTGTGAAGGCTGATTCTGTGGCTTTTTTTCAGAACAAGTATCAATGCACATGTTCTATATGCATTAAAAAAAAAAACCAACAAAGGGACAACAATAGAGTTTTCAAGAAAATCAAACAAGGGAGAAAACACCTATGCAATCTCCACATGGAATGGTGTTGAAATAACCCAACGCTCACCAGAGTAAAATCATATATAACGATGGCATTAAGCCTTACAAGGTAACGTACAGAACAGGAAATACTGACATCTTCTAGAGCAATGAGGACACAGAATGGTTTGTGATTTCCTCACTAGTCAGTTTCCATGCAAATAATCTTCACAGTCACATGATTTGAAAACTCAGACATTCTGTGCCCATATAAATCAGGTTGAGCCAAATCAGATTATGACCTTACTTAGTTCAGGCATACAGCTTTAACCCCCTTCCTCATATTAGATTAATCCTTTAAAGGTTGGGGACTTTTTTCATTCCTATTTGGTGTTAATACCTTCTTCAAGAGTAAACTGTAAGAAGCAGTTTTTATAATAAAAATATGCAAGTCAAGAAAGAAAGAATAATACATACACAGTTAAACCATACCTGACAGTGGTGTCTTTCTTATGTGAAAAGCAATCGGTGAAAAAGCAGGAGAACCATTAGGGGCAGGAGACCCTTGTGGAAATGTGGGACTGGTTATACTTCCCAGACTGTAAACACTTGCTCCTCCCTGGATAGGACTTGATGAAATCTGACCCTTCAGTTTCAGAGGGAAAAAGAGAAAAGAAAAAAAAGGCATATTTTCATGATGTAAATTTTGACTAATATGTAAATAGAAAAATTATTCTAACTAAAAAATATAATATGGCAGCACTGAGGAAAACTAATCCTGTACAATGGCAATCTCTATTATTGGTTTATCTTGAATATTCCAGTTGTAGCTCTTTACTTGAACTTTATGCCTCCACAATTAAGAAAAGAGCAATGGATTTAAACTGACACATAATACCAAGTAAGACTGTAATATCCATTGTAATTAAGAATTATGAAAAGCCTTAACAGAGTGTTAATACTATCCGTGTATACAGTTAAGTATTTAATCCCAGTTTCTTACTCATACCAATGCAGATAAAGGCCAACCACTATACACATTGTAATGGAATCAGTGTTACCCAAATTTAACACAGCAGCACACACAATACTTAAGAATAGTGGTTCTGATCTTGCTTAAGAGTACAATACAAGAAGTCACTTTAGCAGTGCTGTAGGAACATTGTAAGAATTTTTTATTAGGTTACCACAGTGAAGACTTTTTTTAAGCTACACTCTAGCTTAGGTAGTGTTTTTTTCCATGTACTTCAAGTGCCCAAGAGAAGAAACTGTACCAGCGAAACCAGTTTAGCCGTGATACATCCACCTGGGAATAAGATTCATCTGGCTTAATTTAAGAAACAGACATTATATTCTGTGTTCTAATAAATATCTCTTTATCTGAAATCTCTGGCCAGTGGAAAAAAGCAGATTTAGCGTTTCATTCAAAGATCCACAAGTAATTTTCTTCACTATAAATTAGTTTAGGAGTTATAAGGGAAATAATTACATCACCTGTTCATATCAGCTAGTATTTTAGACAGCAGTTCATGGATTTAAACATGCCTTTTTCTGCATGCACATTGTGTATATATATATATATATATATATATATATAATATTACAACATGCTTTCAGCAAATCTTGTGTATGTATTGATTCCTACTTCCTTGTTGTGAAATTAAAGCATAATTCCTTCTGTACAAGAGAACAGCATCACAACATAATAGTTTCATATAAGAAGTCAGTGACATTATTTCAAAACTTTTATTGTTCACGTTTTTTCTGACTTTGGAAGTTGGAGGGGAAAAACAACAAAAAAATAACTCACAAAAACCACACCACCAAAACCTAAGCCACAAAAGCATAATTTGGCCTAGCACCTATGCTCTAATAAAGCAGTTGTAGCTTCTTAAAAAGAAGACTGTTCCCTTTGTGAAGCTTGTTAGAACACAGAATCATTCTGCTCCAAGATCTGCTCCTGTGCCAAGTCAGTCACATCCCATCCAGCACCCAAACCAGGCTACTTACTGAACTAGGTGTTTCCAGAGGGCTTCTGCACCGAACTGGAGAGATGTCTATTGAACAAAGTACTCCAAGTGGCTGATTACCACATGGACTATGTGGAGAAATAGACAAACACTCAGACACACTTCCATTTTCTTCTAAAAACAGCTTTCTTCTGAGTGATGAAGAGCTCAGATTTCCCTGAGACTGATCTGAATATTCATCAGTTCTTATATATTCACCTAGAAATGTCAGGGAGAAGTCATTTCCAGTAAGGATGAAAGAAAAAATTCTATTACAGAGACATATATATCTAAATTAAACATTTAATCCAATTTACCAGTACATCAAGTAATTAATCTAATTTAGGCACCTATCCTAAAGGATCACTTGTTATCATTTCAAGAGAGTCCACTGCATCTACTAAGGTTCCACTTCTGCCTATCATGCTTTAATACTAAAGTCTGCATTTTAAAAAAATTGATAAATATTGGCTAACATCTACTTACTGGCCTTTTCACATCTGTGTATTTCACATCCAAGTTGTGAAAAGCAGATTATTATACTACCAAAGCAAAATTAGACCCTTTTTCAGGTCTCCCATATGATTTGATGGTAATCATGGTACATCACCCAAAGGCAAACCAGTCAACTTGAAGTCAAAGCAAAAAGCATACAGATGTTAACAAAGACCCATTAAAATATGCTATGATTTATCATATCAGTTTGGTTTTACTCTATTCTAAATGGATATTCCTTGTAGAATAAATTTTTCCTGAATCTGCAAACTATGCATTGATGGAAATGTTTGTTAAGATGAAATATGACAGCAACCAATATTGTGATTTTCTGTTTTAATTTTGATGGCACACAATGAGGGCTGTCAATACAGGGATATAGGAGTGTTCAGCCTAAAACCCCTGAGCTAGCTATACCCACTATTCCCACATAGAAGGCCCTTGCCTAAGAAGCTGGCAGCAATTCCTTGATAAAGCACTTACTTAATTTGGACTCTTGCCTCCCCATTCAGTGGTCACAACTTTTTTGCCACCACACAACTTCTAATCACCACTGTGGCTTCAGTTCAATGAAAGGCACAATTAAAGCAGTGCTTTGCTCAAGGCAAAGTCAGGCTATGAGCCTCACAGCCAGCAATGTGAAGTTGAACAGCTCTCAGTAAAGGTTCTTTTTGCAGAAGTCAGGGGGTGCCTTCTACTTTGCAATTGTTCTCCATACCCCTCCTCTTTTATCTTTATGTCTATACTCAAAGTATATAATTTAAGTCAGCTGTTCCATAAAATATGCAGTAGCTGTTTATTTAGACCACAGACTTAAAACTTCCATTCATGTGTTTTCAATATTTCATAAGACAATAAAACCCCAGCAAACAATACCAGTTTTCTATTTAGACATTCATAATTAAATTTTGATATGACACAACATACCTAGTATTTTCTCTATATTAAAATCCACTGGCAAAGACAGCACTGTCTGACAAGCAGCTGTAATGAATAAAGTCAACAAAATTAGCTTGCAGTAACCTTTGACTAAAGCTGTAGAAACGAAAATCCACTTTCAAATTGCATTGCAATTAAGCCATTTAAGATACAGTTGCAATAAGGAAAAGTGTTAATTAAAGCTAGGATTCTGATTTGACAACAACTATGCACAGCACAATCAGTCCTAGAGGTAAACAAAACAAGGGTTGTAACATAAAAGCCTCTAGAAAGGCATTCTGAACTGAAGAGAGATGTCTCTGAAGAAAATTACTCAAAAGGAAATGGGAGAAAATTTATCAAAATACCATGGGGAAAAGCATTGATTATTTGTCTAAAATGAAACAGGTAAAAAAGATCTCTGCTATTTATATTGCAGAGAAAATAATCAAGATTCTCTAACCCAAAACGATCCAACACATTAAAGGCTTCTTGAAACTGTAATTTAGCCATAAACCTGAGGCTTAGATTCACTTTTTAATTCAGAAAAAGGGCATGCATTGAGTTGGAAAAAATGTACTCCACAGACGAATTCAGGTGTTACTTTGGAAAAAATATGAAAGACTGTAATACAATTAAATTACTATCAGAAACAGATATTAAAAGTAATAGTACCATACACTACAATGAAAAAGTATTTCTACGGGAATGTTAACAAAAAAAATTACTGCCTTTTGAAATTAGAGCACCATTAAAAAAATGGGTCATTTTGCTTCAGAAAAAGCTTGCAATTTCAGACATAGTCTTTTACCCACCATTGCTTTTGTAAGGCTGCAACGTTAGCTGTCTTCCAATTGGAGAAAGGTTATTTAGATCTATGGCTGTAAAACAGATAAGAACTTAAATTTAAGCATGGATTGCACATAGGTTTTAAACCAAGCAGCAGTTAAGAGTATTTAACACAACTAAAGGGAGTACTGAAAAAAGTTACCATTATAGCTGATTACGAGAATTTCAGCACCTTTCTATTCAAAAAAACCTTAGTGAAATAGCATGAGCTTTGCCTAGATCTTTGTCTCCTGCGGCCCCTCCACATTACATACATTTAAAACAAACTCAAGTTTGTGCTTAGCCAAACAGGCTGTGTTCAAGTAAATCTCATTTCCAGAAAATCATGCAATTTGAACATGAAAACAAAGATGAAGAATCTGCTATTTTACTTTTTTAGACAGCTAAAGAACACATGATACCATCTTCTTTCAGCACACACTTTCCCTAGGTCTAGTACCATGGCTAGTGTTCTCTGACAATTAAAAATACACTATCCACAAGCTGCATTTCCTTGATAAAAAATTTAACAATTTAGCCTCTTCCAAATCTTGCAAAAATACCCAGGTACTTAAGAGTCTCCTACCAAACAACAGTGCATGCAAACAATACTTTATAGCTGACATTCGTCCAATTTGTAATGCATTTACTATGTATTCTACTAGTTATATAGAAACTTTAGTAACAGCAGCATTAATAACGTCTAATAATGGCATAAACAAAATAAACAGAACACCCACACTACATACAGTGACAGTGAACTAGCAAGACACAAAAAAATCCAGGAATTTACATAGCAAGTAAGTAAAAATAGAGAAGTAAGTAGAAAAATACAGAACTCAGTTTCCCATATACTTATATTGGCAGGAAAGCAGTCAGAATAATTCAGAGGTGCAGCTACCAGAAAACTGAAGTAGAAGATTTTACCAGTACTTACACAGCAAAGTTGTGTGCTTGAGGACAGGTTACAAGAGAAAAAAGATATAAGAACAGGAACCAAAAATAACAGAAAGGGAAATTGTATAAGAGTTTGAATTAAAAAATAATTTTTAAACAAAGAAAGCATTTGGAGAGAACAGCTAAATATCTACTAGTTGTGCCAACTTTTATTACTGGTTCTTAAAATTTACATCAAAGTTGAAAAAAAAAAATACGTTTGATGGTTTCTCCAAAAGCTAAGTCAATTGTAGGTGACACACAGAAGCAACTTACATTTACCAGAATTAAACTGTGAAACTTGCTTTCCTTCATGTTCAGTCCAAGGAGAGGGAACTATGAGACTTTTTGTGAAAAACTAGAGTAAAATAGAAACAAACTGTCTTAGCACTTTTAAAAATTGAAGGCACTCCAATTTAGATTAGTACATTGAACAAGAAAAAAATTAAGTTATACCTTTGCTACCCACAGATCTATATTTTTAAGAATTTTAACTCTTCCTTCCCCAAAGCCTAAATCCCTTATAGCCTGCAAATACTTCATTATTTCATGTCCAGAGAGGTTAAAGAAAAAAAAGTGATTTAAAGACAACCCCCAAGTTCTTTACAACACATATCACCCAGATCTTTCAAGCCTGCAGAGGGAAAATTATGCAAGTTTCATTTAACACTGATTACTCATTTTAAAAGGGAATTGTCTCTACCATACTTATTGCACAGTAGTTTAACATAATTATTTCAAAATTTTTCAGTTTGTTGATTTTGACAATTAAGACATTTTGCGGAACTGCTAAGGAGACAGTGAAAGGAAAAAAAGCGGACAACCAAGGCTTATGGTAACCTTATGAAGTGTATTTGGCTAAACAGGTTAGCAGCAAAACATGTATGAGTACTGGCACTTTAGTGTCTTTCTCTGAACTAGAAACTCTCTGCTGTGACAATCACACTCCAGAACATACTAAGGCTGAGGAGACAAACATTATAACATAGCTTCACAAAATACATGGTAAATCCTGTTCTCACAATAAAAGACTCAAAACGAATGAAAACAAAACACCTTGAAACACTTAACTATTAAAGGCATAATTTTTATCAGTCATGGTTTCAAGCTGTTCAGCTGCATAATTCATTAGTTTATACCTAAGAATGCAGATTTAATGCAGATTTAGAACAATAGGGCATCTTTGCTGCAGGTCAATTACCTAGCACCTTTATGGAATCATAAACCATTTTTTTCATAGAGACAGAAACTCATAATAGCATGATACAATACGAAAAGGTCAATAACACTGTCAAAACTAACTGAAATAGGACTGAAGACTTGAAACACTTTTCCTTCTCTGCTAGACAAATTGATGGTAAATAATAAAAGGAAAACAGAAAGAATTACACACTAAAGGAAGTAAGTCTTGCCTCCAACTAAGCAGACTTAGGAAGAAACAAAAAAATCAAGGTTCTGCTATATTTTTTAAAATACAATAAAAGAAATTATGCCATCTAACACCAGAAGTTACTGTAAACCCTAACAAACTCAATCATTTTTAAACTGAAATTAATTACTTTTAAGAATTATCTTACTACTACATTCCCACAAGCCAAGCAACACAAAAGAAACAGTATCTGCTGATTTGATCTACAGGTGTGTGAAAGATGGGAAGAAAAAGACCACATGGGTTCCAACTACATCTGCAAGTCAGGACGACAGAAAATCACTTTCTTACTGACCAGTAAAATATAATAGGGTTCTGGTTTTTGAAATCCTATAATATATGTGGATCTTTTTTGCAGATAAGTAGCTACAGCAAATAAATACTTGATAGCATAAAAATTTTATTACCTCCTCAATGGCTTTTTGCCTTCTGTCTTCTGTTTCCTTATCAATTCTAAGTGACAAATGAAAGCAACTCAATTATCAAAACCATCACATCATTGAAAAAAAAAAGTCAAGAACAACTATGTCATCTTTTACAGATGCTTAAGCGAAACATTATAAATGAAATTGCACTAAACAATAAATCTTACTTTTCACCATTATGTGCAATAACCTCATGCTATAAATCCATAAATATAATGCATTTATCTGTTACTCCAGTTCATTTGAAAGATCTGTACCATCTTTTAGTACGTATTTGCAAATCTTCTATTTATGTCAGGAAGTATTTTTATCTGGATAAAAAATAGACAAATCATAATTGGTCTTCCAAAATTATAACAGAATCACAGAATGGTTTAGGTTGGAAGGGACATTAAAGATCATCTAGTTCCACAACCCCCCTGCCACAGGCAGGGGCACCTTCCACTAGACCATACCTCAAAGCCCCATCCAACCTGGCCTTTAACACTGCCGGGGATGAGGCAGCCACAGCTTCTCTGGGCAACCTGTTCTGTTGCCTCACCACCCTCACATTAAGTCTCACCTATACCTTTTGGAGAGTACTGGCTTGCCTAGCTAGCTTTCTCATCTCTACCCTTCTGCAGGAGTCCCAGAGACCGAAGAAACTTACACTTCATAGGTGTTAGCATGGAACACTCCAAGAAGATAAACTGTGTTGTGACAAGGAACAGAAGAGGTAGCTTAGTAACAATCACTAGCACGACATTTTCTGTTGACTGCTTTTATCTGGCTGTCTTCCAAACTGCAGTCAGAGTGGATTAGCAATTCTTAACATTAAAAAGAGTGACACAGAGGCAGCCTCATCTAAATATTATATCCACATTAGGGACACATGAAAATCTATGTTAAAAGATTTGAATAAAAAGTCTTCTCTGCTGCGCTGAAATGTCAGTAAAGCAAAAGAACAGTGTTCTAGTATTCAAGCAAGGCAACTGCATAAGAACAGACTGGAAGTTACCTATCATGACTCAAATACATTGCTTGACGTTGAACATCTTCCAAGTCAATTTCCACAGGATTTATTACAGCAAGCTGATCAATAGACCATCTAAATTTTCCTGGTGTCTAAAAAGAGACATGAACAACTTAGTGCTTCCTAGTCTCAAAAGATAAAATAGAACCACAGGACAAATCTCAATGGAACAATGCAGGCATAACTTCCATATAGTTTCTGTCAGACACTATCAAAAGTTTCTGTTTAAATTCTTTATTAAAAGTCGATCAGGCTTCTTTATCCTGATAGTAGTATTACAATGATTTACAAGATAATATAAAGTAGAAGGTCATAGCTAGAGTTTACAAACTGAAGTGTCAAATTCTTTTCAATTTCTTAATATAGATGTACTAAAGATGGAGAACTTCAGATAAAATTTAGTCATTTCTAGATTGCCACAATCAAAATTGAGGTTCCATGAAAATCCAGTGCCTGCATCTAACCCAAATTTTCACCTTTCACCTCGCAGTTCCAAGAAGACTTAGGATTTGCAACCCCATACACATCTTGCAAAGTCTCCCCTGTAATGCCATACACAGCACACAACAAAATCAAATTCAGAAATAAAGCAGTTTCAGCCCTTTGTTTAACATACAAAATATTGCTCAAATATCTGTTTGAAAAATATTTACTAAGTCTTGGTAGATCACTCATTAGCACAGCTTATCAAAAAGTAATTCCAACTGCAAACCAGCATATGATCTGCAACTAAAAAATGTTATATATACACAAAATCATCAACTTGATTCTGTGAATATACAAACAGCCCATAACAGAAGTAAAATTATGTTTTACTGCATCCAGCCTGCTTAGCATGTAAGTAGGAACTGGAGTACTTTTCAGCTTTAGGTAGGACAAGAGCACCACATCCAACAACTGTCCTTTATCTGCTTTCAACTGGTTTTAGCACTTAGCAGATCGTAGGAAGACTGACAATGTCAATATTCAAAGCAGCATATTCCTGTAATCAGAAGGCATGGCAAATGCCAAAATTCTTTGGCTTAGCATATACATTAAAATATACTAAATAAAATACAACTTTTAATGCATTTCAAAATGTTAGCACTGCATTTCTGTAGCTACACAACTAAAAACTAGATCTTACAGGTGAGGGTTTTGTTGATTTGAAGACTGAAGGACTGGAAACAATCTGCTCCTGAAGAGTGTAATAATCACTAGGACTTTCAAAAGGATTCAGGATGGTGACTCGTCCTGGAGTTTCTGGCGTTACCTGCATTTTAGTTTCTTTTGTATGAGCCATAACAGTAAGAGATACCTTGAAAAAAAAGAAAAAAGGAAAAGAAAAAAAAAGCATTTATAATTCTGACATTTTAGGGTCATCCTGAAGGTTTTTAAAGAGCCAGGAACATTTATAAAACTAAGAAAAGCAAAGCTATCTTTGACATGTTAAGCTAATAAATAAGGCTGATAAGAAAAACAACTAAAAATAAATAGAACCTACGAAAAGGAGACAAGAAAGGGCACTGAAAAGGAGATTAAAGTAATCAAAACCAAACCACAAAACCAAAGAAACAAGCCCCCGCCCCCCCCCCCAAACAAATGAACCAGAAGCAAACAGCACTGAAGCCAAACGTATTCCTCAAGGGCAGCTCACATACACTTAACCCTGGCACTCAAGGGCTTCAGAAACAAAAGTAGGTTGGAGGTTGGATGGGACTTCAAACAACCTGGTCTAGTGGAAGGGATACCTTCCACTAGAAAGAAACTGGAACTAGATGATCTTTAAGGTTCCTTCCAACGCAAACCATTCTGATTCCAAGATTACTACAACGGGGGTAGCACAAGCGTCAGCCTCCCTTAGGTAACACCCCCGCCTTGCCCAGAAGCTGTGCAGCCAGCACAGAAGCAAACGGAGAACCACAACGGCTGCCGGCCAGCAACTTGCCTTGTTGGTCTACACCGGCCAAGACCTGAAGCTTCTGGGGGCAGGCAGATTATCCCGGGACTTTCCCTGATGGGGCAACAGCTCCCTCAGGATCTAAACCTACCGGCCTGAAGCCGGCGCTAAAAACCACCGGCGCACCCGCCAGTCCCAAGGGCCAGCTCCCTAGGGGCTGCGGGAGGCGCCACCGTTCCCTCACGCGGCGGAAGGAAGAAGGACGGGAAGGTCTACTGCTGCGACCCCCGCACCCCATTTAGAGCCCTCCAGTTAAGCCATGCCCCAGGAGCTCCCTCACCTGAGGTGGCAAAAGGACCCGGAACACCCTCTCAACCCGCCCGAGGACTGCTCCTTCTTCCTTCTCCTCCCTCCCCCCAGGACAGTGTCACCGAGCCTCTCCCCACGCCACTCTCCCACACGCCAGCAGCTAGCGCGGTGCTAAGATCCCCAGAGCAGGTACCTGCCGCCGTTACCCCGACACTCATACTTGCCTCAGATCACTGCGCTCGCCCCCAATGAGGCAGGCGGCTCTTTAACTAGCCCCGCCCCCTCCCTGCCCTCTGTCCAATCAACACGTGCGGTCTCCTCTGTCTCACCAATAGCAGGGCTCCCCCGTTCTCGAACGGACCAATCGCCGGGGGCTCCGCTGCACAAATTCGAAATCCCGCCCTTTTACTTTCTGCTGTTAGGTGGGCGGGCTCCGTTTGGAGCGTCACGTGGAGCGGGACTCCTTGAATGACGTCAACGAGCGGGAGCGAGTGGGCGAGTGGGCGAGTGGGCGAGTGGGCGGGCGGGCGGGAAACTAGGCGGGAAGCGCGAGGGGGTGCTTCTTCCGCTTCCGGTTGGGAGGGGTCGCCATGGCGAGCAACGCTGCCAGTCTCAACGCCGTGCGGGAGACCATGGACGGTGGGTGGCACAGCTGCGGGAGAGGGGCCCATGCTTGCGGCACTGGCCGCCCTGAGTTGGGCTCACGTCAGCGCTCCTGCCGTCGCCCCTGTCCGCAGGCTGCGGGGCTTTCGGATGGGTTGTGCCCATACAAGTGCCTGACCTGTGAAGAGGATAATGGTTCGCTGAAGAATTTAGTGCATGGCAGTTTCTTTTTACTTCATGTTACGTGTAGTGCCTGAAACACTTCAAATGTCTATGTAGTGCTAGTGTCTTTGGGCCTCGTGTGACTTGTCTTTCCATTTTATATAGCTGTTAAGTATTTAACTTTGCGGTTTTAATGTTTATAAGTACATACGTTTGCTATTCTTTCTTATTACTTCAAGTAGTTAATGCCGATTATGTTATCTGGCTCTGTGCGTCTTGGATTTAATCTGGAGGGAGGGAGGTGCATGGAAAGGAGAGGAAGGACCAACCCTGTAGTGTTGGATGGCTCATGTTAGAAAACCAACATAAAACATACTGAAAAAGTTTTGAGGCTAGCAGTCAGTGTTACAGAATTAGAGTAGTTTCTGGTACACAAAAAGAAATATTGTAGGATGGGGAACCATAGATTCACCTAGGTTGGAAAAGACCTTTATGATCATCAAGTCCAACTTACCCAGGGGTGTCCACCACTAAACCATGTCAGTAATGTGAGAGGAGTGTCACTGGGAATAGTGGGAGATACGCCAGAAGCCTGTAACCCATGAGAAGTGTGAACAGAGTGAATAAAGATCAGGTGTTCCCTTTCTCTTCCAGCCTGATGAGGAATCGAAGCTGGCAGGTTCAGGAAATGTTTCTTAGCAGTGTGTAGTGGAAAACTGGGATTCCATGGAATGGCTATGCCAGAAAGCTTACATGGATTTTAAGCAGAGTGGAAAGCTGCCAGGAAGTCACCTGAGTGTTGTTAAATATGAAGACTTTCCTGGAGAATGCCTTAATGAGAGTCCAGAGGCTATGGAGAGTGTTCTGGGGGTACTGCTTTTTGTTTGTTATTTTCTCGTGATCTTACCTTGTATTCTAGTTATGGCCATGTTACATGAGGACTCCATAGCAGCAAAGACCTTAATGAGTTGAACTGGTGTGAAAATGCCTATTTCAGCTGCTCAGCTACTGGCTCTGACTGGTTGCAGGAGAAAAGGCTACTCTGCAGGAGTAGCAGGATTATTATGGCTTCTCTGATGCTCCAAGAGAATAAGATCATTCTGTATGGCTGGAGATAGATTTGTTTGGGAAGGACAGTGATTCTAAGTTCTTGTAAGTGTTCTTGACACCTGCATTCTCTACACTTCTTCAGGAATGCTTTAGGTAGGAGGAACAGTATGCAGATATAAGGACAAAGTAAGGCTTTTGAGAACTGCTATGAAAAGTGTACTACCCTTGAGATTTAGGAGACCGGGTTTCCTGTGTAGCAGTGTGTATTTTATTTAGGATAGATGTTCATAATATAATCTCTTTCTGACATCAGGTGTTTTTAGAAGAAAACAAATTTCCATGACTTAAACGTGCACTTCCTCTTTAAATATTTACTTAGAGCCTTAGAAACATCCTCATATCTGAACTTTCACTGCATTCCATAACTAAATTGGCTTGTTTTTTTACTGTCAAAATAACAGTAATCTTTTGAAATTTTCATTATAAGAGTATGTATTTAAAGTGGTTTGGTGGAGTGACTTAAAAAGTAACACACTGACAATTGTGTCCATGTAATTAGATTTTTCTTGATGAGGGCCTATCATAATGAATTGAAAAATATTTGTAGGATAATTTTACTTTCTTTTTAAATAGAACATGAAATCTGTGTTCTGTGTTAACTTGCTGAATAAGAAACAGGCACCTAATGGAAGTAAATACCTTGGTACTAAAAAAAAAAAATTATAACTGTAGTAGCTTAGGAAAGTGCTTAATCTAGAATGTCAGATATAAATATTTAGCAGGTGTTCTCTGCAGAATTGTTAAGAGTTCAGATTTTTTGTGGAGAAGCTGCAACATCTCTCTGCCAAAGATGCTGCCTCAACACCTAATACTTTCTTTTAGAAACTAGTGACCGCAACTCTTGCTGACATAGGAAATAGGAACTTATCTTTAGTTAGATTTACTGCTCTGCCTTGAAATACATCACATACTTAGTAAATTTCATGATAAATGTTAAGTGGTTAAAGAGAGTAAGAATTGTTTATTTCTGGGAAGCTGTCAGTCTTGGTTCTGTAGCTCTTAATGTTCAGTGGCATTTTTATTGCAAATGAATCAATTTGTTGTTGATTTGGCTGTTGGAGATGCTTCTGTTCAGACAGGGTGCACATACGTAGTGTGTTTGGAATGGTTTGCTTTCAAGTCAGTGGGAAGAGAAAGCCTTGTTGGGGAGAAGAAAGCTTTGCTTGTGGCTTATAGCTAGGGCTTTGGTCTGACAAACTGCTTTCATGTTTTAAACTTATGCATATTGTTAATCCAACCTACTTGTGTGGGCTAGGTGCTATCACACCTAGAGGGGTTTTTTCATAGCATCTGACATTTCTCTCTAACTTCAGTGCAATTGGCTGGATACATTAGGCCTTTGATATCTTGGCCTTGGTAAGTATGACTCTTAGGGTTGCTGCAGTATGTCTTTGGTACACCAAAGTAGAATATTTTCATAGTTGTCAAGTGGACAATAGTCACCATGCTGCTTTTACATGGTGAGAAGACCTACTTCACTTTCTTCTAGCTTAGTGGAGGTTTGATTACAGAAACTGAATAGCATCTGTACAAAATCAACCTGTATTGCTAAGGTCTTAGCCTTGGGGTGGAGCTTACTGGTGCAAACAGAAATAAAACCTCCATGAGTTGTTCTGCTACTTACTTAACAAGCTGTTTATTAGAATGAAACAAAAGGGGCCTTCTAGGAAAGGTTTGGAAGGGGAGATCTTTGCTTCTGCACAAAACTAACGGGAATCTCTCCCCCAGAAGGTGTCATGCTGGTGTGTTGCCGTTCTTGATATTGTAAAAAAATTAAATAGTTCTGCTTATCCTTAAACCAGTGTTAATACTGGACATAAAGCAAAGTTTAGTCATGGAAGGAGGTGGCTAGAAAACTCCTGATGTGTTTCCAGTCCGTTTTAGTAGGGCTTCATCAGTATCTGTAGTTCAAAACCATGGATTATTCTTATAGCCAACTTCTTATGTAATTTGCAAGAATGTTAGTTATTGATTTCTTCGCTTATTTTTATTTTTAAAGCCTATTATCCAGTATTAAGTTTGCTGAACCAGAAAAACGTGGTATTTCTGTTAGAAGCTGTGGCTTTTAGCTTGTGCTGGTAAACTGAACATGAATGTTGTTGCTGAGGTTCAGACGGTAAAGGCTTTCCACAACTGTCATGTTCTCAGTCTTTACTCTGTAGAAATTAAATGTTGAATAATGTTTTTTGTCACTGAAATTTAATAGTCTGTAGGGACTGAAGTGCTTTCATTTTTTTCGGTTGCAGTTCTGTTTGAGATTTCAAGGATATTAAACACTGGCTTGGATATGGAGACGTTGTCTATTTGTGTGCGGCTTTGCGAACAGGGGATAAATCCAGAAGCATTATCGTCTGTTATTAAAGAACTGCGTAAGGCTACAGAAGCTCTAAAGGTAATGCTTTTTATAGAAGCTTATAAATTTGTTTTTAAGAGTCAGATGTATGTTCAACTTGCTATACTTCAGTTTGTAAATTGTACTGAGATATGACTCATCTTTACATCAAGGAAATGTAACTGTTCCATAGGAAAGGCAATGAATACAACTGAATGAAACATGAAGCAAGAAATGGTATGAATAAAACCTTTTCAGTAATAGCCAGATTAACTTTTTTGAGGGGAAAAAAAGACCAAACAGCCAAAATCCACAGATTTTTATTCTGGCAATTTGTAGCAACTATTTACCCCCTTATCTGCATCATATCACAGTTTTCTACTTTTTACTTTAACACATATCACCTTATTTATACATCCTCAGGCCTAATAGTATGTAGCAGTAGATGTAAACAGGTACATGCAGCTTGCTAATGTAATCTTCACATACCGCTTTTATCACATTAACCTGTGCTTTTGGTCTCTACAAAGACAGACCATAGGGGATTTCATGGTGTATGTGTATATATAAGGCTATTTACCTGTTTGGCTAGTGGAGAAGGTAACTATGGTTAAAAAAAAATAAAATAAAAAATCAAAAAGAATCTTCACTTGCCTTTTAAAGGATTTTATTCTTTCCTGACTACCCAAACATCATGATTTCTTTTCCCCTGTACCTTATATTTGTTTATTTCTGGGAAGGTGGAGGGAAAACCTCTGCCTATTCCTGTTCTGCAAGACTGCATTTTGATTTTTAGAAAGTCCAAGTTACAGATATTTTTACTAAAGACATGCTAGTCAGGGCTATTTTTCACCAGTTTTCAAATGGTTTACTTAATTTTTAACTTAACATTTTTACATGCTTATGCATATTTTATATTTGTATACATGCTTAAATGTGTGCATACATATGTGTTTAAATGTGTATATAAGTAATTGAGGTCTGGTTTTACTACTTCCTTTGTTTTTATTGGTTTATCATTCCCATTGCTATCCTTTGCCTGTTTGTCCCATGACTGTCTTAAAATCTACCAGTGGCAGTCTCCAACAACTGTACCTTGCTGACTGGGTTGCGTTAAGTAAAAAAATACTTACTGATGACCTTAATCAAAAATTGGCAGTGTGATTTATGGAGTTATGATTAGTGGTATTCCGCCAAGTTTTATGTCAATTTATCTGTATGGGTGGGAATAGTAATTACTATAAATTGTATAAAGAAATAAACTCCAAAGGAAAAAAAAAAAGTAAAAATTCTGCATTTGAGCACTCCTTGAAAGCATTAGGGTAAAATGCAGGATTACAAGCTGCTCACATACAGGATATACAGTTTAGCACAAGCAAATAGTAATGGCTATGTCAGTAAATGCTAATCAGTCAACAGCATTTTTTTAATTTTATTTTTTTAGAAATGAAATAAGTATTCATTAGAGAACAAGACTACACATCTTATAATTTTCAGCTTATTTTTAGACTTAAGCTCTCTAGGAAAATTAAAATAGTCACAAGAACAGACTAAATTTGATCTACTTTTGGTGATTCGTAATAAATGTTTTTTCTCTTTCTAGGTTGCTGAAAATATGACAGGCTGACATGGGAGGAGATTTCTGCATGAGAAGAATGCCAGGTCAAAGTTAACAGAGGCTTTGAAGATTGTTGCTATTCAGGAAATGAGTGGAATAAGTGTGTGTGTGAGAAGGTTTCAGAATATTTGTTAGCTTCTTGAAAAGGATGATGTATAGTATAACCTTGAAAAGTTTTTTAATGAGATAAGTTCATGTGTAATCTCATTGCTTGCTATTTTTGTGATATTTGTGAATACAGTGCAATTGCTTGTACATTTGCTGAACTTACTAGTGTGTAGCAACAAATACTGCATAATGAGTGTAGCTTGTTAATGCATCTTTTAGAAGTGCTAATATATCCTGGGGTTTATCTCTTGCTTAGAGGAAAAACTGCATATGCAATTTTAGTTTCATTTTATGGATCAGATAGGAATGAAGCCCATCCTGACTTTATTTTAATTAGAATGGGGGTAGTGACTTAAGTCTTAACCTGAAAGTAAGAAATAAAGCACTTTTGATTATGTAGGTACTAATGATCCTTTTGATTTGGATTGCTGGGGAAAGCCTTGTGGGGTTTCTTTTGGGGCTTTGTTTGTTTGTTTGTTTGTTTTTATCTTGCATAACAGAGGAACTTCAGTTATCCATACAGAAATGTATGCAAATGTAAATGCTAGATTACATGGAATATTTTATGAAGTTCAGATGATACATTTGTTACACTTGTTCCGTCTACTAGATCTAAAAATACTACAGCCGTATTGCTACTGCCTAGTCAAAGCATACATAAGAAGCATCAGATTTGGTTGATAGGAATCGGTGAGTCTTCAACAGTCATTTGGTATAAGAATGTCTTCTCATTCAGCGCTAGGAATCTTCACTGATGCTGAAACAAGTGTTTATAAGTAACTGTTATACAGTAAGCTGTTTTACTGTGTTACTTACCAGTAAATATCTAAGAGTTCTGCTTCACAAGAAAATGGTGGGGTTTTTTTTGTTGATGTTTCATCGGCTGCTATTTAAGCATTTTTTATTTTTGTTTTGGTTTTGCTTGCATGGGTCCAAGATGTAGCATTAATGGGACTTAACCTCCAAGGTTAATAGTTTGGAGCACATTTGGAAATGAACCTGGAATCTTAGTTAATCCAAACATTATATTCGTGCAGAGAAAAAGAAGCTCTTTCTACTTTAAGAGTTTACATTGTATGCAGTCTAGGTCATAGCTCTAGAAAAAAGTGATCGAAGTGGCCAGATACTTAAGTTGCTGGCAGAGAGAACAGAAAAACAGTTATGTTACACTGAATCATTTACTGTTGTTTCCAGTTGGGCTGGCCAAAAAATCATTCCAGGAAGATGATGTGAAAAACTCTGTGAAGTGGTGGAGTCACCATTCCTGGAAGTACGTAAAAGATGTGTAGATGTGAAACTTTGGGACATGGTTTAGTGTGGACTTGGCAGTGCTGGGTTAACAGTTGGACTTGATAATGTTAAAGGTCTTTTCCAACCAAAATGATTCTATAACCAAGCTGGGAACAAGCGTTCATGAGTGAGCAAAATGATACCACATAAAAATCCTTTGTACATTGGTGGTGTAACTTCAGATTTATAATACTTCAGATTTAGAATATTGGGTGTAACTTTTTTTGAAAATGCTGAGGTATCTGTAATATGAAGAGATACAAACAGTGAAATTTATCCTAGGAAATCTTAGAAGTCATTAAAACGTCATGAAAATGCCAGGTCAGATCAACAGAAATTATCAGTTAGCTTGTACACTTAATTTTATCTAAACTCAGTGCTGCATGTCAAAAACAAGAAAAGACTGAGGAGCTTTCATGCTGGTTTTGGGAGTTGTGTCTAAGCCTGTGAGTTCTCACTTGTGAAACCTAGACTCTGAAAGTTTTATGTAAACTAAAGCAAATGTGCCCTCTGGTACAAAAAAAGAAAATCCCTGTAGCAGGGAGTTTCATACTGGAAATGCTTCTCTGCTCTAAAATAAGTATCACTTTGTTGGAATCCCAACTATGTGAACGTGAGCATTGATGGCTCGGAAGCCTTGGCTGCATTTGTAACACACACTGCCTTCTACGACGTTTAACTGAGAAGCTGAGCAAAGAGCACGTGCTTTTCCTCTGGGCTCCATACTTACATGCTCTTGGAACTCTTGAAAAGATAAACATAGGAATAGCTATACAGGTCTCAACCAAAAGTTTTTCTAACACAGTAGCCTCTCTTTTAGTCAAAAGCAGCTGCCGGAGGAAGGAGAACAATGCAAGCACATTTATTTTTTTTCCTTCTGTGTTCTCCTAGCTTCCAAGTGTCTTCTATTCCAGGCTTTCCTGCACATCATATGGTTTGTCTATTTAGTAATCCCCAATGCTTCTTTTTCCAGTACTTGTCCAGTTTCCCTTGGACTATATATGCTTCCTGAGTAACAGTCACCTTCATCAATTGGTGCATTTCCTAAAGAATTGCTGTTACTTGTTTATTTTGAACCTGATTTTCACTAGCTTAGCTTAAGGTTCCCTGCACAGTAAGCTTTTACCTGCCATGCTTGTGCGAGTCATGGATCTGCCGATACATAGCATTCACGTTTAGATTTCCTCTTCTAAACTGAAATGCATTTGTTAAGCTTCTGTATTTACTGTCGATTGAAACTTTTCTGAGTCTTATGTATTATTTTCTGAGAGTGGAACAAAAACAGCACACAGCATTAGGCATGCAGGTAAGTACTGGCCTGTTTGTTTACTTTCTTGTTCTTTATTTCTTTCCTAGTAGTTCCTCATTTGAGTTTTTAAATTTGAGCTGAGCACTGAAGTGTCTTCATGGCATTATCTGCTATAACCACAGGATCTAACTCTTGAGCAGTAATGATAAGCTGAGAGGCTGTTGGTTCATAGGTGAAAGTATGGTTGTTTATCTCTGTGTATACAATTTTTATTTATCTTTGCTGAATTGTATCTGCCATTTTATTTCCTAATCAGTCTTGTATGTCCTGCAGTTCCTCACAGTTTGCTAGTAGTCTTACTACTGTCACTAACTTTATCCTTGTCAAATTTTGCCACTTTGTCCCTTTTTAGAGATTAATTATGGATAGGTCAAGCAGCACAAGAGCTAGCAAAGGCCACTGGTAATCTATGACCTTACACCCCTTCATTTTCAGTGACTGTGAATAAAATGCAGTCCTGCCTACTAGTGCCTACTTACTCTTACACCCAGTATTTTTAGTGTCACATATGGCACAGCTGTGAGAGCCTAAGCGCAATCATGAATCCAGCCTGGCCAAGACATGGCATTGTAGATAACTAACAGGATCAGTGACATTTGTAATTGTATAATTAGGTTTTATGGATATAAATTTAAGTAGAAAAATAATTTTACAGGAAATTGTAGCATACCAGAAAAGAACACAAACATGATCCTGAAGTCTCTATCTTACATGACTATCTTAACATGAGGAGTTGTTATTTCTCAGGTAACTGTGTTAGCAAAAGCAAAAAAAAAAATCTGTTAACAAGAAGAAAAAAAGACAAAAACATGAAAACAAACCAACCCAACTCAGAAATCTGGATGATGGTCAGGCCAAGACACTTGACCTAATAGATCTGACCAAATACTGATTTAGTCTTAGACTTGCTTTTTAATCCAATCAGCTCGTTCCTCCTCCAATGAATTTGAATGCTCTTGTAGATATACTTTACTCCAGGGACTGCTCCCAGTAGGCTGCACCAGGTTGGGTCCTACCATTCTTCCCCAGTGCTTTCCACTTTCAAACACTGCCATGTACTCTTGCATGTTTATACTTTCATGCTATAGAAACCCTGCTGCCCTCATTATTTGACTAGACATTATGTTAAAAGAAAAAGCACCGGAAAATGACAATAAGAATCGGTGGTGACCTCTGACAGCATGCTATGCAGTATGTCTGTAGAGAGCCTTCTTTAAAAACAGGTAATGCCAAGCAGTGGGACTTTGCATTGCTATGCATCATCTGAGCTAGGGACCTAGGCATGCCTTTAGTAGTGGAGATTCACCTCTTTGAACCACAAATACTACTTTTAATTAAAGTTAGGAAAACCAATTTCCAAAGACTGAAAGGTGTGCCAAATTAATTTCAACCTTTTAAAAAGCAAGGCAGAATTGATAACAGAATTTAAGACCAGTCACCCAGCATCAGCTCTTGTAAACAGTGAACCAGTGAACTTGTGATTTTATGGGCAAAGAAGGAGACCAAAAAAGTGTATTAAGTTCCATTTGAACCTTGCTTGGTGGAAATCTCAGTGGGCTATTTTTTTCTTATTTATGGGTTTATATGTGAGGTGTTGGTGCAGTATGCTTCAATTTATGCATCACAGTTTTCACTTGAAACACACCATTACCATCACTTAGTAAAAACTAATGTACTATGTTGGTACCCATTTTGCTCTCTTGTTACCTTGGGAGTGAGATTGACAAAAAAAAAACAAAAAACAGAACAAACCAAGCTTTAAAAATGTAAAAACCAAAAATCTCAGTTCTTAAAAACTCTTCATCAGGGACTGTAGCAGTAGGACAAGGGGTAATGGGTTCAAACTTAAACAGGGGATGTTTAGACTGGATATGAGGAGGAAGTTCTTTAAGAGTGGTGAGGCACTGGAATGGGTTGCCCAAGGAAGTTGTGAACGCTCTATCCCTGGCGGCATTCAAGGCCAGGTTGGACAGAGCCTTGGGTGACATGGTTTAGTGTGAGGTGTCAGGGGGTTGGAACTAGATGATCTTAAGGCCCTTTACAACCCTAACTATTCTATGATTCTAAGTCATGATTTAATCCAATCTAGAGAAGTATCTCTAATGTCTCTCTGCAGGATGCCAGATGCACTAGTTGTAGCAGTTGCTTCTGCCTGCAGAGTCCATGTAGGGTGGTGTGAAACAGCTCTAAGTAACATGAAAAAAATTAAGAGTATTTAGGATGAATATCAGTAATGTTTCTGTCAGATAAATGGAAGCTTGCTTTCTGAGACATTTAATCATTACCTGATAAGAAAACCCCAAACAACACAACTATTAAGTATCTGAACTAGCAATCTGGAATCTATTGAGTCCAGGCAGTTTTATTAGCACTTCATAAATATTCCTGTTTTCTGACCTCAGGTTCTTGTAAGGAAAGAGCAGCTCATGAAAACATTTCTCTGAGAGAGCTCAGTAGTGTCATTGCATGGGCGAGCAGGGTTTTTAATGCTCAAATGTAACTTTGAGTAAAGGAGATGGAAAATGTGGGAGTGGAAGAGGCGGGTGGCACTTGGCCATGCTGTGGTTCCCAAGGGATCAGCCAGGAGAACCCCTGGGCAGGGAAGGGAGCCGTGAGAGGGTGAAGAGGCTGAGGGACATTCCAGCTTGATTTCATTTGGTTATTTTATTTGAACACTAGATTCAAAATTGGTATCTTTGAAGATAACAGCAGGTAAGAATTATTTAATGGACAGGAGATACAAGATAGAATACGGTTAATAAGTTGTCATATTGCCCTACTCCCACCCACAGGTTCAGTTCCTT